TTGGATTTCTGGGCACCGTGACTTGATTATTTGGGAGCTTTTTGGACCTTCCTTATTTGTCGCTACTGTTCGACTGAAGGTATATTGTTCTCCCTTATTTTATTCCTCTATTTATCTTAGAGTTATTTTTCTGTCACGGGTGCCCTAGTATTGTTGTTGATATGGCTACTACTGAGGGACTTGAGAACTCTACTGTTGACACCTCTACCGTTGAGACATCTATGGGTGCTTCCACTTTTATGTTTGACCAGTATACAGTGCCTACTAGCACAGTTGCATTACCAGCATTACCGGGCATGATCTCTCAAAAAGTTACGGCACAATTGTTGAATGGTCGTAACTTCGCTGAGTGGTCACGCTCATTCCAGCTTTTCTTAGGCCGTGTAGGGAAGCTTGGTTGGCTGACGGGATCTCACCCAAAGCCAGCTGATGCCGACCCTGGATATTCTGCGTGGTTCTCTGAAAACTGTGCCATTCTTGGATGGTTATTTGGCTCAATGGAGCCCTCTGTTTGCAGGATCCACCAGTTTCATAGCTCTGTTCCGAAGCTATGGAGCGCATTATCAGAGATGTATTCTCAGTCAGGACGGGGAGTTCGTGTTTATGAGCTTTCTCAGGAGCTCTCATATGCTCGACAGGGAGATATGACCGTTCAGGATTATTATGGCTATTTGACCCAGCGCTGGCTTGAGTATGAGTCTCTACGTCCTCTTGCTGCTATTCCGAAGATAGAGCCCGAGGGAGCAGCATTCTTGCATACTCGAGAGCAGGAGGATAGGATTCACAAGTTCCTTATGGGGCTTCGTGATGAGTTTGAGGGACCTCGTTCTCAGATCTTGTCGATGTTGACACTTCCTTCTCTTTATGAGGTGTATGGGATGATTGAGCAGCATGAGCGTCGAGTCCGTATTGCATCACTTCCAGTTGCAGCTTTGACTCCTTCGATTGACCAGATGGCCCTTGCAGCTGCTGTAGGGTCCCGTTCAGGATCCTTAGTCAGGGATGGGCAACGCTCAGACCAGCGCCGTCAGGGCGCCCCAGATCAGCGCAGACGGGGGGATTCCCGTCAATGTGATTATTGTGGCCGACCAGGACATCTCAGGGCTACTTGCTGGAAGCTCCATCCAGAGCTTAAGCCACCTTCTCGCAGCCGTACTGTTGCTATTGCTGAGGTACCACCGCCCACTACCGCCACTCCTGCTACTGCTCCTCCTTGGCAAAGTGATATGGATGCTATCACTTCCCGATTAGATATACTTATGTCTGCTCTGACTTCTCAGAGTCTGACTACTGCTGCTGTCACCACTACAGGTATATCTCGTGCCTTTCACGCTTGTGCCAGTTCATCTCCCCTTTGGATGTTGGACTCGGGTGCGAATGGTCACATGACAGGTGAGGCCCATCACTTCACCACTTTTGACGAGCCGTTACATACACAGGTTCAGTTAGCAGATGGAACACATGCCCCTATTGTTAGTAGGGGTACAGTCCGTCTCCCAGATGGCCTTACATTACATTCGGTTTTTCATGCGCCAAAGTTGGCCATGAATCTATTATCTGTACATCAGTTAGCCAGAGATTTTCACTGTGCGGTTGTATTCTTATCTGATTCGTGTTATTTGCAGGACCTGAGTACCAGGAGGATTATTATCAAGGGACATGAGAAAGATGGACTGTATTATCTTGGCAATCCATCTCCAGTTTCACCAATTCCTTCACCTGCACCTGCTTTGTCTTTTTCTGTTCCTAGCTTGCATGCTAGTATTTTACCTAGTAGTTGTCGTTATGATTTTTCGTCACAAACTGTTCAATTGTGGCATGACCGTTTTGGACATACAAATTTTAAATATTTATGTATGTTGTTTCCTGCTTTGAGTAATGCTTGTGTTGGTGGTAAACTTGATTGCGTTATCTGTTCCCTATCAAAACATGTTAGGGCCAATTATATTCCTCGCATGCACCAGTCACCCAAGCCATTTGACCTAATACACTCTGATATTTGGGGACCCTCTCCCGTTACTGCTCTGTCAGGTGCCAGATATTATGTGACATTTATAGATGATCATACCCGTTGTACTTGGGTCTACCTTTTGCATAGGAAGTCTGATGTGCTCCCTATAATCACTCAGTTTTTACAGATGATTAAGACACAATTCGATGTCATTGTTCGTGCTCTTCGTTCGGATAATGCCAAAGAATATGTGTCTGATGCTTTAGTGTCTCACCTTTCTTCTCAGGGTATCCTTCAGCAACTCACTTGTCCATATACTCCTGAGCAAAATGGTGTTGCTGAGAGGAAAAATAGGAGTTTGATAGGGATGGTACGTTGTCTGCTTAGAGGCATGAGGGTACCAAAATCTTATTGGCATTTTGCTGTTTTGACTTCTACCTTTCTGTGCAATCGTACGCCGAGTCGTGTTCTTCAGCATAAGGCTCCCTTACAGGTCTTATTTCCTGAGCGGACACTTTTTCCGGTCCCCCCTCGTGTTTTTGGATGCACATGTTTTGTTCAGGATCGGTCTCCTACTCGTCATAAACTTGATGATAAAGCGATTCGTTGTATCTTTGTGGGCTATTGTCATCAATCTAAGGGGTATCGATGTTATGATCCTATTAGGCGTCGTATGTATCACAGTCTAGATGTTACCTTTCTTGAGCATATTCCTTATTTTCCTTTCAGTCCTTTGTCTGCCCCTCCAGTTGATGATACTCCCTTTGATTTTCCATTACCACAAGAGTCAGAGTCATTGATCACTATCCCTACAGGGTCATCCGTTTTTCCTCCCAAGGAGTCACTCATCCCTGTCAGTACAGAGTTACCAGTCTCTCTTCCTTTGCAGGTGTATGCTCGTTGTCCTCGCTCTCATCACCCTGCTGATATCCCCTCTACCTCAGGCGATGCAGGTAATACTTCTCAGTTTGTTGAGCATATTGATGCACCTGTTGTTAGTACTGATGAGATTACAGGTGCTGAGCCAGTTACTTTACCTGATAAGATATTATCAGTAGAGGATGGTGATTTAGGGCGTCGTTATCCAAGGCGTGATCGCCGTCCAGTTGATCGATATGGTTGGACCGCCAAGATTTTATATCCGATCTCTGCTTATGTTTCTTATGGTAATCTGTCTCCCACATTTCGAGCTTATACTATGGCCTTATCAGATACGCTGGTTCCTCGCTCTATTTCGGAAGCTATGCGGGAGCCCCAGTGGGTTCTTGCCATGCAGACAGAGATGGACGCTCTTCAGCGTAATCATACATGGGATCTTGTCTCCTTACCTTCAGGGGTGAAGCCTGTTGGCTGTCGCTGGGTTTACACCCTGAAGTTTCTGGCAGATGGTACTATTGATCGTTACAAGGCTAGACTTGTGGCGAAGGGCTTTACTCAGGTACCAGGTCGTGATTTTGGTGCTACATTTGCCCCCGTGGCAAAATTGACTACTGTTCGGTTAATTATTTCTCTGGCTGCGGAGTACTCTTGGCCTCTTCATCAATTAGATGTGAAGAATGCGTTTCTTCACGGTGATCTGGACGAGATTATTTATATGGATGCACCACCGGGCTTTCGTGGTGAGGGGGAGTATGCTGGAAAGGTATGTCGACTGCGTAAGTCTCTTTATGGACTGAAACAGTCGCCACGAGCCTGGTTCTCTCGCTTCAGTGATGTAGTCATACGATTGGGGTTCACCAGATGTCATTCTGATCATACCTGCTTTATTCGACGGAATACTTCTGGACAGTGTGTCATCCTTCTGGTATATGTTGATGATATTATTATTACTGGTGATGATGTTTCTGGGACTGCGCAGGTCAAGATAGACCTTGGGAAGGCCTTCGATGTGAAGGATCTTGGATTTCTGCGATACTTTCTTGGGATTGAGGTTGCCCGTAGAAGCAGAGGTATTGTTCTTTCTCAGAGAAAGTATGTTTTGGATCTTCTTTCAGACACTGGGATGTTGGGGTGCAAACCGGCATCATCACCTATGATTCCAAACCTGAAGCTTACTGCTGAAGGTGAGGAGTTGAAAGATCCGACAGTTTATCAAAGATTGGTAGGTAGACTTATCTACTTAGCCAATACTAGGCCGGACATTTCATTCGCAGTCAGCCGAGTTAGTCAGTTCATGCATAGGCCATGTCAGCCTCATCTTGATGCAGTTTATCATATTCTTCGGTACCTCAAGTCTTGTCCTGGACTTGGATTGTTTTATGCATCAGGATCTCAGACCGGTTCTCTAGCCTGTTATTCAGATTCAGATTATGGGGGAGCATGTGATGGTCGATCTACTACGGGTTTCTGTGCTTTTCGAGGGACTCATCTTATCTCTTGGAAGAGCAAGAAGCAGGCAGTTGTCTCCCGCTCGTCCGCAGAGGCAGAGTATCGGGCATTGGCACTTGGCACATGTGAGATTATCTGGCTACGATCGATTCTTGACGAGTTGGGTTTTTCAGTGACCTCTCCATCCACATTATATTGTGATAATCAATCTGCTATTCAGCTCGCTTCTGACTCTGTACTACATGAGAGAACGAAGCATATAGAGATCGATGTTCACTTTCTTCGGGAGAAGGTCAGCAGTGGTCTTGTTACTCCATCGTTTGTGGGGACCAGTGATCAAGTTGCGGATGTTTTTACCAAACCTGTCACTCTGCCTATTCTTCGGGACTCCGTTGTCAAGCTTGACTTAGTTGACATTTTTGCGCCTAGCTTGAGGGGGAGTGTTGGAGTATAGATAGTAGTCTAGGTTTATTAAGATTCCTTTTCTCTTTTTTACCCTTACTATGATTTTTATATTTTGCCTAAACTACAAGGATGTTTAAGTCACTCTGTATTATTTTTGGCTATATATACGGGACTCTACTTTGAGTTTGAGTATCCCTTTCACATATTCCAAGTAATTTGAACGAGAACCTAGTTCTATCTAATACAATGCTCTCCTTATAAACCTGAAGTTGTTGATGATATAAGGTCTGAGGGTTGATTAACATGCACATCGTAATCATGTGACCTAAAAAATCAACCATTAAGATTAGAAGTCGAATTTGGCTACAAGTTGATTGAATGAGTTTGGTAAGATTCAGGGTGTGCCAATTTACCCTACCAAAACTCTATGTCCAACTTGGTTGGGAAGATTTTTCTATAAGTATCGAATGATCTTAAAGCTTAAGGTAGATGATTGCTTAATTTCAGACTATTTAAGTATTGAAGTGTTTTCGACAACCTACCTAATTTCTGGAACCCTCTTTGTTTTATAGGAAGAAAATGCACCCTGTTCGTTTCTCTTAAAAATTATATTCTTAATTTTCATGTCATCCTCAATATTAGGTGCAAAATTTTTTCTCTCGTAATTATATATAATGAGTGCAAAACTATTCTATAGGTCAAGTTTCGGCCTTCTTCATCAAAAATAAATAAATAAAAAGGTTTCGGCCTTGGTCCTTAAAACGCTTTATTGTAGCATTGAGCATAAAAAATTCACAACCTTTGAACGCTTCACAGCCTCGACATCGGCTTCCTCGACCGCTTTCTTGCCAGCAACAATGCAGTACCCGATACTATCATCAAGCCTCTTATCGTCTTTCCCATCAATGTATCCCTCTGAGCTGAACCCACGAATCTGCCCAGCAATTTTGGTAGGATACTCGGACGCATCGAATCGATCAATGGGTGAAATACCACTTTGGCCGCTTAGTAGTTTATCGTAGTAAGTGTCAACGTCGTTGCCAAACACCGATACTACGCCCATGCCAGTGATGACCACCCGTCTTTTAGGGTCTTTTTCGCGTTTGGGAGGTGAGGTTGTGATGGGTTGGGTTGAGGCTGAGATGAATGAAACTCTCCTGGTGGTAGTGGTTATGTTTGGTGACTCTTTGCGAAGTGGGCTGACTGGCGAGACTCGAAGTGATGGGGATTGAAGGGATTGCATGAATGCCTCTGCGGTGGGTGTGTGGATATGTGTGTTAGAGAGAGAGAGAGAGAGAGAGAGAGGGTGCGGATGTTGGGAGAAGGTACGGTGTTGGGAGAAGGTACGGCGCGGATGTTGGGAGATGGGGGGTGATGGAACTGGAAGTGTTGAGCATCTACAGATAGCTTCGCTTGGGCTACGCCGTTGAGTGTGGTGTGAACAGTGAAGAAGACGACCAAGTGTGAAGTCCGCGAGATCTAACGCAAGCATGTTTCTTTTTTGAGGAAGGAAAATTCTGGTTGAATCTATGATATAATTTATTGACAGAAAATACTATTTGAATTTAATTTGAGAATCTAATAAGGTGACTTTATTTAAATTATTAGATTAACACTTAGTTCTAATGTTTGATAGAGCTCACAATCAATTCAAAAATCATAGTAAATTAGGTCAACAAATTAGATCAGTAAATTAGGTGTCAATAACATTGTTCTTTTGAGTAATGCTACATGGACTTAAATAGTAGACTTAAAAATCAGATTTGATAAGTTCAACTATTGATTTTAACTGTAGGTTCCAGCATTTATTAGAACCCACTATTTATTCAATGGTTGAGATTATCAAATCTAATTTTGACGTCTAGTTTTATCAAGTCTAATTTTTAGTTAATAGTTATGTGCAGATCAATTTATACGTATTTCAACTAATTCTCTCTTGAATTTGGGCAAAGGCGGAGTCTTCTGCATTGCAACTAGAGTATTTATAAAAGATAAATCGTTTATAGTTGATTTTAAAAAATTGTTAAAATTCAAACTCAAAATGTCTGCGTGTCTTTCTCTTTTTTTATTATTTTGTGTGATTTATGGTTTTTTTTTTGGCTCACAAATAATGTAGAAATCTATTGTGAAAATGTACATTTATATAATAAGAGCAATGTTATTGAAACATAATTTAAAATTTAATAATTTTAGCTATTTTATTATCAATGAGTCTCGATGTTGAACGCACTACACTATCAATCCAATGACCACCATGCATTAAAATTCCTAAATTCTTAAATTATGTCCCAATAAGATTAGTTATATAATAAATTTATATGTCCAGCTTGAGCTGCTTAAGATTCTCACTTAAAAAAATAAAACAATAGTTCAGATCATTTATGATTTAATATTTTAACACTTTAATTACAGTAACTATTTAAATTTAAATTTTTTAACTTTTTAACAATAATAACTCTTTTAAATTTTAACTATTTAACAAAATAACTAAAAGTTTAACCTTTTAACCACATTATCCCATTTAAATATTAACTATTTAAGCAAGGTAAATCATTTAACTATAGTAACTTAAATTTTAATTTTTTAATCATAGTAACTCAATTTATGTCAATTTAAAATTTTAACCTTTTAACTATAATAATTCATTTAAATTTTAACTATAGTAATTTGTTTAAATTTTAACTGTTTAACCATAGCAACTTAAATTTTAACCACAGTCACTTATTTAAATGTTAACCATTTAACTATATTAATTTTAATTTTAATTTTTTAATCATAATAACTCAACTCATGTATTGAAAAAAACGTACTTTTCACGGGGAGATTTCAGTCTATTTATCTATAATAAAACAGGGCGTCCTACTGAAACTTCTCATTTAGAAAAATACAACAATTGCTTAGATCGTTTTAGATCTCACGATTTATATTGTATTTTAACCTTTTAACTACATTAATTCATTTAAATGGTAACTTTTTAATTTTTAACTACAATAATTCATTTAAATTTTAACTTTTATCCAGAATAACTCATTTAAATTTTAGTTTTTTAACCATAATAACTTAATTTATATTTTAATTTTTTAACCATAATAACTCGACCCATATATTAAAAAAAATGTGTTTTGCACGAGAAACACTACTTAATTTATATGATAGTTTGAGTGAAATATTATTCACGATTTTTTAAAGGCTATTTAACTGAGAGAAAACAAAGTCTAAAGTAAGGCAATTATTATCTCATTGTACATGTATGTTTTATGGAGAAGACTACGGTACCCAAAACAAAGTTTAGTACCGCACAGTTATTATTATTATTTTTTATTTTTTGAAGATATTTATAAATTTTGGAGGATCTTTTATAACTTTTAGGAATAATTTATAAATTTTGGGGCCATTTGCAACATTATTTAGTTAATGAATTAGGTCAAATTTTTAGATACTAATAATATTTCTCTCAAGAAATTTAAACTCATTTTTATGCGTTAACTCATCACTTTAATAATTCAAGACTTATCGTTAACAGTTACTCTGCATCCACCAAGTCCTACTTACGATCAATTATGTCCCAAAAATATTGAATAAATTAGTTATGTTATATATTCAAAACGGTCTAATAGTAAAACTCAAGTATGTAAGGTTAATTAGTAATTTTACATCTCAAAAATAAAAAATAAAAAATTAAAGAAAATTCTAATTGTAGTTGTTATATCCTACTAATTAAATTTTAAAAGGCCCCAATTATAGCTTTCACCCAGGCCAGGTCCGAATACAATCGGACCACCCTTGGTTGTCACCTAGACAAGCACGTGATGGTTAAATTCAAGATGTGAATGATGATTTTCTTATTATAGATATGGGGTTTTCACTTGGTTCAAGCACCTGATAGTTAAAGATAGAGGTATCTTTTGAGATTTAGATCCATAATTTTCTTATTGTAGTCAATGGGTTGCCACTTAGCCACCATGTGATAGTCAACCATGAACCAACTTAACAATTCCAACATAGGATCCTTTATATTAATTGTAAAAGTGAAACTACTAATTAATGCATCGTTATAAAAATATATCTTTTGATGTTTTATCTTCAAGACTCTTTTACTAAAATCTTAAATCGCTCGGGTAATACCAATAGCCAATTTAGTTTTGAAGAAATTACATTGTTAAATACAATAATCATAATGTTTTTGGATATCTAAAAAAAAAAATTCACAAATTTTGTTCTTATTTGAAAATTCGTAAGTAAGAGATTCATATGAGACCCCAAAGTAGACTTTGAATTATGCTTCTGGATGAGCATTTCAATGCACCAACCTCTTATTACTATGGGATTTGGAAAAAGAACTCTGCAGCGTTGTTGTCTTTTTGTATTATTATTAGATATATACACAGTTGTTGTTATGGATCCGACTATGGCACTTAAAAAAGGGTTTTATTATATTATTTTCACATTGTTCCTTGACTACTTTGATTATTTTGTATTGTTAATTGCAAACATCTGTTTTTTTTAAGACTAAAATTATTGACATGTCGGGACAAAATAACAAGAAATACGTAGTTTGAGTGTAAAATAAAATAACCTTCCGTTAATGACATAGTCTAAAGTCAGAGAGTACATAGAATGTTTGGTTATACAAAATAACCTGATCATGTAGAAGAAAAGCTCATAAAATGGACTTCTTGAATCAGCATAAGTAAGTCTTTTTTGGTCCAAAAAATTGTTGCATAAGCTCGTATTACAGGGATATGTCTGTTAATATTTAACCGACATTTTTTTTGGGTGATAAATGACATCTCTAAAAGACATGCTCCTTTTGACATTCTTTAATTTGGATCAACCCATCATGGGCGCCCCGATTCGGATCCATGATTCAATCAATATCTAATATCTCCCAATCTCACATGATGGGCAGGATATTGCCATCTCTATCAATCTATTATATACATCAACTTCAGTTCATACAGGTTAATGGGTTATGCAGTTGCTGAGCACACCTGCAATTTTGGAGATTTGCACTAGAAACTCTAAAGAACCATCATAGAGACATCAACCCTAAAAAAATGAAAATGGTGTCTTAAGTAGTCTAGACCCATTCGGATACACTGGTTTAAGAATTTCTAATCCCTCACAATATAAGGGCATGCTTAACCCCTCGAAACTTTCACCTATACATTCACACTTTGTCACTATCTAAACTAGATCCCAAAGTTGTCGATAGTGAATATATCGTGGGATGTTCCAAATGATGTTCCTTTAGCCCTCATGTCACTTCGTTAAGAAGTATCCGATTTCCCAGCAATGTCCTAGAAGGCTGAATCACTCATAATTGTAAGTAACATGTCAAATTTGCTGAGCGTTAATTCTTTCATTTTTTGACATAGTCTAAAGTCAGAGAGTACATAGAATGTTTGGTTATACAAAATAACCAGATCATGTAAAAATAACTCAAAGGACTCACACAGTGAAGAAGTAGGATCCATTCCTTCACCTCCTTAATTGGTCGCCAAGCACATGTAATATGAAATAAATGCTACAATGAAGTGTCTCAATTTTAATGATGGCGTGTGTCATACTTAGACACTGTACATATCTTAGTCTAGTCGCTTTATAAGCATCTAACCCAAGTTCTCTATTTACTTGCCCTCCAAAGGTGTCAAATTTTGATCTCACACATGGCTAATCAACAAACACAAGCATAATGGACATGGAGTTGTGTTCATTATCAATCCGCAAATGCCAAATCTCATTCTGTATGCAAAATAGAGTGATACTATATAGTATAGTATCTCATCTTTGTTTGTCATCTCAAGCGCCAAAGGCGATTGCTTGTGTGAGTGAGTCAATCATGACTATTGACATATTTAATGTGTGTGTTTTTTTAAATACCAAGGTAATCAAATAATATATCATTTAATTGAAATAACTATTTATTAATACCCCAAAGATGTCAATACAGATACTTTGTGATCCATAAAATCTCTAGCACATAATCAATACCTACGAAGTCCTGGAGTTCTAACATGACTCATATACACATATCTAGCTATAGCCTTAGTCAGGGGGTCTGCAATCATCTGAATTGTAGGTATGTGTTTCAAGATCACTTCCCTTTTATGCAATCATGTCTCTGATGTAATGATATCTCAAATTTATGTGTTTGGTTTTCCCATGATTTTTAGGATCCTTAGCATAATCTAATGCAAGAGTGTCTATGGGTTTGCAATTCTGCATCTAGAATTGTTCAAG